ATGGTAAAAAAAAAAAACGAAAGAGGGAGAAAAAGAAAAGACACAAGGGAGGAAAAATATGGTCATTGAGCAAACAAGGAAAGAAACTGGGCGATTACTCAATTTATTTGATTAATGTCTTAATTATTAAGATTTTCATTTTTGGAAAATCTGGATTTTTTTTTCACCATTTTACTCCTTTGGCTTCCTTAACTCAGAGTGACACCAATTTAACACCTTTTATTCTTAGAAGCCTCCTAACTGATATACTAGCTAATGTGTGATACCACCAGCTGCAGACATTTAGTCAGTTATGTTTTTATACACTGTTGTTAAACATGATTATTTTACAGCGTATTTCACAGATTGAAACCTTTAAATCAAGGTCACCTCCAAGACAAGGGTTATTGATATTAAAGCTTGTTTTTAGAAATGTATGTCCTTTGTAATTTTCATTATGAAACTCAGGGAAGAAAAAAAAGGAAAATATGTGAGATTAGATTTTTAAGCAATATCACCCATTTCTAGAAAGAAGAAAAGCACAAAAAAGCATAGAAGGAAAGGCAGGGAGGACATATAGAAGGTAAGAAGGAAAGGACACAGGAATAAAGAGGAAAAAAACAAAGAGGGACTTGAAAAAGGAAAGAGGACAGATGGAAAAACAGTCTCATTGGAATCTCCATTATTTGTACACTGAATTTTAAACACTGAATTTTTTTACACATTGAATTCCTTCGACTGAATTTTTTTATCTGGTGAAAATTTAGCTGCAAAAAATTCACCTGTAAAGAATTTGCCAGCAGAAAATTCACCTGCAGAAAATTCGCCTGCGAGAAATTCGCCTGCAAAAAAACTTGCCTGCAGAAAATTCCCCTGCAAATGCGTCAACCTTTTGATGAACTCAAGCCATGGCAATCTGCACTCGATGCAGTCAAGCAGCTTCTGGCCAATGAAATCAGCTCCTTTGGTCAGAAAAACAAAGAAAACTTACCAAGAGCCTTTGCAGACGGGGATTCTGCATTAGCTTTAATCGGCTCAGTTATTTCACCCAGTCCAATTAGACCTCTGTCTATTAGAAGCTACCTGACCTTTTGAAATCATATCTATTTAACAAGAAAAACTCCCATTTAACCCAACTGTTGTGTCATGTGACCAAATGAGCTAATTTCATTGGCTAGAAGCTACTTGACTGCATCAAATGTAGATTGCTTTGGATTGTGCTCACCAAAAGCTCAACACATTTAAAATCTAAGTTTTTGCAGGCAAATTTTTGTGCAGCTGAATTTTTACCAGATAAAAATTCAGTGTAAGGAATTAAATTTATAAAAAAGACTGAGTGAAAACAGTGAGACTGCTTTTCTTCCATATATGGAGGGACTCAAATAAATATGAGAGAGAAAAGGATTCAATGAAGAATACGAGGAAGAAATCAGAGACACAAAGGAGAGACAGGGTGTTTAGACAGTGAAAAGCATGTTGGAAAGACCTGCACATATAGTTTGGACATCAGTTTTCCAGTCTGAATTAAAACACGTTGACATGAACATGAGTATTTAGAATAAACAGTCGCTGGAAACGAAATGTGTCATGTAAACACGTCGACCAGAAGACTTGGACTGGATTCAGATTAATGAAGCTGTGGTCCAAAGAAAGGCTATCATTTCGACCAATTTTTAATCAGAAACAGCCCTCATGTAAACACTTCTTCTGATGCAATTCTGGTTGTGGTAAACTGAACAGACTGCACTGTGTGTGAAACGTCCTGCAAGATCGCAAGGAAAATGGTTTTAAAGTCCTGTGCCAAAAAGCTCAACTGAAGCATCTTTGGTTTCCTTATGCTTGTTGTTGACTCAGCATACTTTTGTGGAACGACAGACTATGTCTTTTAGGATAGACTTTCTTCTTGCAACTCTTTCATAAAAGCCAAATTAGTGGAGCGCATCACTAATGGCTGATGTCAAAAAGAGCAGAGAATGTCTGTAGCTCCTCCAAAGTTACTATGAGCCTCTTGCCTGCTTTTCTAAATCATGCTTTGCCTTTCTGACCCATCAATATGAATAGAAGGTGTAATGAGACAGAGACTGGATCCAAATAAACCAAGACAGGTTAGTGACGTTTTTAATGGTTTATTGAAAGGGTTAATCTGAAAGCGGGGCTGAATCTGTGTGGGTAAACAGGCTGCAGGTAGACAGGCGGGCAGATTGAGGGAGGTTTACCAGTTAGATCCAGGATGGAGAGGCTGGCAGTTAGGCGGAAGTTTTCAGAGTCAGAGATCCAGAGAGAGGGGAGCAGGCAGGCCGATCAGAACGACTCAGAGATCAGGGGATCCAGAGGCAGAGCAGAGAGGGTAATCAGGCAGGCAGAATCAAACAAGGGTCAGGCAGGTTCGGAGTTGGGAGGCAGATCGGGTCAGAAACAGATTGGCAGTCAGGTTCGCTTTTAGATGCTGGACTACTCGTAGCGGGTTGGCTCGAGATAATCTGGCACAGAGGACTGATCTGATGGGGTTTTTAAAGTGCTGGAAACAGGTGACTCCAGTCAGAGATGATTGCAGACGGGTGGAGCAGAGCAGGTGTATGGACTGAGTGATCAGGCCAGAAACAGTGCAGAAACCATTACAGAAGGCCATGGCTTGGTAGCTTTTAATAGTACTGGTGATGTAAGCAAATAACTGATTACACCCAATTGTAGATTAAACGTTTATTAGATTATAATCTGTTCTGATTAATTAATAACATCCACTTAAAATGAATTTCTTTCATTCATAGTGCTACCACCGTAAATTAGAAAGCACTGTTGTTCATTCATAGGCGAGGCTTACTGTAATTGTAAGAGAGTGAATGCCATACCCAAGGCATGCTAGAGAAGATACATTAATCCATCCATGATTGCAGAATGAACTTTATGTGGTTCTATTAATAAATACTTTATAAACACAGGATAAACTCTTTAGGGTATCACCTAAGTAGGCCCATTCAACCACCTGTTTAAAGGCACTGCTATCAGCACAAAGTCTCTGACAGATGCAGTCTTATCCAAACTCTGGTATTAGTTTATTGATTTGTCATATGTACTTATCATATTTTTATTTCCAATTCTAAAATTTCCATTATTTTTTATATATATTGTTATTTTAATGTCCCAGTTGTTTCTGTGCTTTATTTATTTTATCATTGTGATTTTTTTTTTTTATCTGCACTTTCCTTGATATATTTTTTTGTTTAGTTGTTTTTCCCTTTGCTTTTTTGAACAATGAAAGTAAAAGGATTTTTATATTTTAAAAGGGGATAAAGTAAAGTTGGATTCTTGTCTGGTTAAGGATGACGTATTTTCCACCTTAAGCCAAATTGTAATTCTTTCCCTTTCGAGTGTCGAGGCTTAACTAACATTTTCCCTTGAAAAACAAACGTCCCATATCAATCACATCAAGCTCTCAGTCTTTCTTTCTCTCTGCTTGTTGACTAATTGAAAGGCATCACTGATTCAGCCCAACGCTTTAATTAAGTCAAAGACCACTAATGCTGTTATTTACACTTCTAGATTTGGAGACCAGCCAGGAAGATAAAAGAGGAATGTACAGATATACAGCAGACATCCCGCCAGGTTCGTTCAGCCAATCTCACAGCGTGACTCACAGCTACTGTTTTGAAATAACACCTTTCAGATTTTAGGCATGGAGGCCGCTGGGCTGTCTTGTGTTTCTCTCTGCAGTCCTTTCCCTAAGTGCCTTTTAAACTGTCAGAGAGACAGCAGCCATTTTTTACTCCCAAAGAGATTTGCATCTGTTCAACAAAAATGGGCCAGAATATCCTGCTGAGAATGGGGCAGTGGTCCTGCTTTTGTTTGTGTTATGTCAGCCTTCAAAGCTTATTGGATCTTAAAATAATTGCCCATTTAAGCAAATCAGCCATGGGGAGCTATGCGAAAGCTTTTAAAGTAACATTAAAAACTGCCAAACCACCTCATGCACTGGGGTTTTTTACTCTAGTAGATTTAAACACTGCGTTTGGTTGAGGTTTTGAGGGCCCAAATGCAGAGGCGAGGAGGCAGAGGTGATTTATTGTAGTTTTAACAGAGTTATCACATTTAACAGAGACAGGAAGCCAAAAATCCAACATAAAAATGTAAAACAAACTAAAACGGGGAGACAACAGGGAAAACAAACACAAGGAGCCAGGGAAAGACGAGGAACCAGCACTGAGGAACTGTACTGGACTGGGAGACTGAACACGGACAGGACTAAGAAGCTGATTGGGAGCAGGTGTGAACAGAGGATTCTAAAAGGGAGGTAGGGAAAAGGAGACTAACACCAGAGGGCAACAAAGAAAAACCTAAGAACACAAATACATCCAGAAAACACCACTAAAGCTAGAAAACTACGAAAAACATGCATAGACGAGAAACTGAAAACTCGCAGAACAAGACAGTGACAAATACTATTACAAAAACAAAAAAACAACAAATAATCAGAGAAAATTTCCTGATGCAATGTTTGCTTTAAATAAAAACTGCTGGTGTGAATATTCACTGTGCTCCTCTGAACCCGTCCAGAGGACTTCCCTGCTTCCTCATCAATCTGCTGCTGTTTGGTGAGGTTTATTTCACTACAAGTTACTGAATCAATTAATTGCATTTGCAATATAATCGCTATTCAACAAAAGGCAATTTTCAAATCACAGAGGCACTAAATTTAAGAAGACTAAGACTCTATATTTTTCCCTTCAGCCTATAATGCGGTGATTAAACACTTGAAGTGGGTTTGTCGCCACACAAAAAGGTAGAGAGCGTTGTAGCTAGCATGCAGATCTTTGCATGCAGGTTGAAGTAAACACTTTTTCCCACAGTTACAGTGGAATCCTGTAAGAATGGACTCTAGGAAAGCAAGCTCTCAAAAACCAAACGCCTGGAGAGAACCTTGGGATTAGTGCAAATTAAAAATCAAAATAACATTGAATCATAATTTATTTGAAAAATCATTTCGATTTTTTCTTAAATCTCTCAGCCCTACATCAAACACTCACCTCAAACAGCTGCTGTCAGTAAGGTGCCTGTTCCTGGCATACTGGATTTCAACCATCAGAGATTCACCCATGGCTTGGCCCTCCTTCAGCTGCCGATCCAAGTCTGCCGGCAGGAGAAATATGCTAAACATTTGATTCCTTTGTTAAAAGAATAACTATATAGTGACGAGTTTGATGAGACAATTAAAAGTATCTTCTCCCTTCTGTATGTTTTTCTTTCGCAGCACTAGACTTGGATTGGTCCATCCCAACATGTGGGGACACTTTGATCTCTGCTAATCCCCTGCCATTTTTGCTTTTTAAAAGATTTAGTAGAAAATTATCATGGAAAATAAGTATTTGGTCAATTAAAAAAGTTCATCTCAGTAGTATAACCTTTAAGTCTTCACCAGGTTTTGTCAAACTGTAGTTGGTATTGTGGTCCATTTTTCTATCAGATCTCCTCTAGAGCAGTTTCTTTTTATGGAACCACTTCATTTTTGCCTTTGGGATTATGCTCATTCTAGAAGACCCAGTAACGTAGGTTTGGGCATAAAATCTCACCACACATTGCCCACTCGTCCTGTCCCCTTTGGAGAAAAATAGCTCCAAAGCATATTGATTCCAGGTTTCAGGGTATGATGTATGACTGGGCAGAACGGCTCAGGTTATCCTGAGCTATCTCTAGAGATAATCTGCTATAGGCTTAGACTGCTAGAGGACTTTTCATCATTCAGCTACTTCCTATCTCTAGTATCTAGTACTCTGTAGTTCCACCCATTAACTTTACATTATCTCCATTTTTTCCCTTTATAGTATCTTTATTGGTCAGTTCCTGATGGGCTGTGACATCATCCATTAGAGAAATATTAGCTGGGCTGCTGCCATCAACACCTTTGATTATACACAATAAAGTTTCACATGTTTTAGTGTTTAGTGTTGGGGTTCCAGTTTGTGGGGGTTGTTTTGTTTTCTTTTTTAGTGTCTCCATCCATCCACTTGATGGTGCCCTTGTTTCTCTGTTGGCCCGGAGGGCCTCTTCCTGTTGTCAACCATCCACACCTGCGGCTTGCTTGGTGATTACCATCAGAGGAGTATATGAGCAGCGGACTGTCACCACGTCCTCGCCAGAGTGTTTGCCAGTATTGGGTACTCTAGCCTCTGTGAGTTTAGCTGAGTGTGATCTTTGAGTTTACGTCTCTTTGAGTCCTCTAGTCCTAACCCTTTGTCTCCTTTTTATGATCTCAGCATATCACCTGATCCACTGGATAAGCCTGGTCCTTCAAGTCTTGGAAGGAATCTGTTCGTCTCACTGAGAAGTGAGCCGAATAGATCAGTTCACAGACCTCCTCAAGAAAGCTTGTGACAGTCCACTCCGCTGCCCCTCTGGACCACTATAAGTCTGCCTGTCTGCCCTCCAGCAAAGTTGTCTCCATACCTTGACAACTTCCCCCACAAACAGGATCCAAGGAGCTTCAGCTATTCTTCTGCATTGGCCTGTTTATCCATGGACTCACCACTCTGATCTATCCCTAGAGTTAACTTTTTCCCTGCCTCTGAGTTGTTTCTGCATGTGGGCTAAAAATTTGAAACCCTTCATGACATTTAGTCTTGTTTCTCTCCTAGACATAACTATGGCCTAAGTTTTCACAGTGACTAACTGTATGTACTCTCTTTCATTTCTTTTTTGACAAGAAACAATAAGGAGCGAGTTTACTATTACCTTTTCAAATATAAAAATTTTAGATAAATCAGTGATTTTATGTTAATATTGTATGTCTGCCTCTGCCTCCTGGAACCCCAGCCGGCCTTGGCAGTGAGCCTGGATCTGCTGGAGGTGTCTTCCTGTAAAAACAAAGTTTCTCCTCTACATTGTCGCTGCATGCATACTAAATGTGAGGGATTGCTATTGAGTCAATGACAAAATGTGAGGGAATATCTACCGTCACTGCATGCTCATCCAGGGAGGCAAATCTTGCAAGGTCAATGACTGGATGCAATAAGCTAGATGTCCTTAGTTAGAAGACTTTCTGTTTAAATGACTCGGTTGAAATGTGTCTGCAATATTAATAATTGAAATTGCTGATATACTGAATTTAGGTCATTTTACGTGGATTGAATTCAATTTAATTGGATCAATCTGAACTGAGAGTTTTTGAGAGGGATGGAAGATCACCATGAGCTATGATCTAATTTAGTAAATGAAAATGTTATATTTACTTATTGTAAAATACAAGATAAAAAAAAAAACTTAAAAAGGTAATCTGTTCATAATTAACCTGTACTGTGAGTAGAGTTAAGAAAATACAGTTTGTCTTTGAAATGCCCATTCAGCACAGGTGAATTCCTGTTCACCTGTCATGGTCATGAAGGCAGTGATGGTTTAGTATTAAAACATCTGATCTAAAGACTCAAACATCCTGACAGTTTTTATGGGATCAGGTAGTTGAACTTATTAAAGATTAGGTTAGAATAATTAGTTAACTGATATTGAGTTCACCTTTCTGTTTGTCATTCAAATCCTGGACTTCCAGCAGCAGTTTCCTCATCTCTTGCATAATGGAGCTCATGTGGATGTTGCTGCGTTTCATCGCTTCCATCTCTGATGCCAAAGAAACAGAAAAAAAAAAACAGAGATCGACTTTGAGACATTTTCAAAAGTCCCATAATTCTGAACTAAATGTTTCATAGAACACTAAGTTTGTCCCTCTTAGTTTCTATTCACCTTTAATTCACCTCAGCTTTCCATTACATAAAAAAACTATAATCTAAGAGCATATATTTGATCAATTCAGTCCTCAGCAATGATCTTTATATATGGTGAGATTGATGTTCTCACAAACCATTCATATAATCTTACACAAAAGTTTGCTGTATGTGTAAATGTTTTCATTTGCTGCTACATTCCTGGCAAACATCACAATATTATTTTATTAATTAATATTTATTTATTTTTACCTTTTTTTTTTTCCTGTACTTCTCCTTTTGGTTTTATTTGGGGAACTTAAAAGGTTTTGGACAATAAAGTGCAGTTTTAAACATTTAATGTCTAATGAATATCACAGCAATGTCCCTATTTATGAACAAACCTTTAATCTCAACACAGGATAGGCTGCTGATGGAGTGTAAATCCTGATAAAGGATCAAATACGTTTACTGACCTTCGTGTAAAGCTTCCAGCTCCTTCTGCAGGGCCAAAACCTCAGTGCGTGTTTGGCCCTCCAACACAGCACCTCCATTCCCCGTAAGGCTGAAGTCATTGTTGAATTGTGTGATCTCCTGAAGGAACTTTTTCTCTTCTTCTTTAGATTTCTCCTTTATTTTGGCCTGATGAGCAAAGAACAATCGAGTAAAGTTCCCTTCACAACAACAAAGACACGGCTATTTGCTGTTATCCTTCAGAAATCACAAAAAGTAAAAAAAGAGGCTAGGAAAATGACCGACTAAAAACAATTATTACTCATTTGTGTGAATATTTACATTAAAACAACCTGACTGAGGAGTTTAGGGCTCATCTTACCACAGAAACGGTAACAGTGAATATTACTACTGGTATTCTCACAGCCTTAGATCAGGAGTTGGGGTTGGGACCAACAGCGGGGTCACTAGACAACAAGAAGGTGGTTTTGCCTGATGTAGTATTGAATATGCATTAGACGTTAAGGACGCTTGTGCAAAGTAGTTTACGTGTGTGTATTGAATCAAACTGTTAATCATGTGCACATTTGGCAGAAATCTGATTTCACTATTACATAAAATATGTTATAATGAATTTGTAATGAACTAAGTGTCACGGTTGGGTTGAGGTTTTGATGACCCAAATCTAGAGGTGAGTTCTTATGAAATATCTGAAGCAAAAAATCGAAAAACCAGACAACTTCAGGGGAAAACTCACGTGGGGAGCCAGGAAAAGACGAGGAACCAGCAGTGAGGAACTGCACAGGGAGAGTATATATGGGAGACTGAACAAAGACAGGACTAATGAGCTGATTGGGAGCAGGTGTGAACAGAGGATTCTAGAAGGGAGACCAACACAAGAGGGCAGCAGAGGGCAACAAAGAAAAACACTAATCTATCCAGAAAACACAACAAAATAGGAATGAAGCCAATAAAACTACAAAACAAAGAAGAACATGGATCAAAGTGAAACTGAAAACTGAAAAGAACTCTTACATAGAACCAAAACCCGTGACACTAAGATGTCCCTTGAATTAAGCAGATGTATTTATATTAAAACTTTACATTGTCAAAAGGGTTTCACTGTAGTTCTGCTTATGGCGCTGTTGCCTTGCAGCAAGAAAGTCCTTGGTTCACATCCCAGCCAATGGTCTTTCTGCATGGAGTTTTCATGTTCTCCTCGTTCATGTGTGGGTTCTCTCTGGGTACTCTGGCTTTTCCCACAGTCTAAACACACTGAAAAAAATAATGCAACCGCTTTTGGCATTAATTTAATTCTATTTACTTTAACACAATTGTTTTATATTGTGTTAAAGTAACTAAATAGGGTTAACAATTGTGTTAAAGTAACTAAATATGGTTAAGTAAATGCCAAAAATGGTTGCATTATTTTTTTCATGACAGTTCAGTTAACTGGCGTGGCTGAATTCTCTGTAGGTGTGAGTGTGTGGTTGTGTTTCTCTGGGACAGACTGGCGACCTGTCCAGGGTAAACCCCGCCGTTCGACCAGTGACCGCTGCAGCCGCAACCCTGACGTCACTAAATCATTAAAAATAAACGTAGAGTGAAGAATTTCATGTATTTTTAGTGGGATTTTGTACCAGATATTTTTCCAGGAAGAATGATGCTGGGTTTCAATCAAAACATGGTGTGTACATGCAATTAAAAGATTTATTTGCTTTTTTTGTTAAAAAAATTATGGTTATATTCCTGCAAAATGTTGTTTCTCTTTTTTCACATGACTGTTTATAATCCTTTTTAGCTATATGATGAAACACCTGCCATTGCAAACAACTGAACTGGCTTCTTAAAGTAACATCTCACCAAAACGACGCTAACACTGAGTTACTGTATTTGGTGCAGCTGCTCCAGATCATTTTATTTTACGCTGCAATACAAACTGGGGATTTTAAGACCTTATAAAATGTGAAGTGTAACAGTATGCTCAAGAATGTACCTGCTGCTCATAAACTAAAGGAGCAGCATGAGGGCAACACGCCTTCATTTCAGAGGAAACCAGAGAGATGAGAGATGTTTATTCAGGCTTCAACCCACCAGATGATCCCTGAGGTGGCTCTGCTGACAGAGTCCCTCCTCAATTTGCTTCAGCATCTGCTCTTCACATTTCCTCATCATCTCACACTGCAGAGTCATGGTAGACAACTGCTGAGCCTGGAGAGCAAACAGATGATGGCAAAGTCAGGGTACAGAACCTGACAGACATGTTGAAAGGCATTACAGAAATGACAGATATGTTTATCACCCCAGAGGCTGATCGAGCCGACAGCCGTCAGCATCATATATGAAGTGCCAAATAGCACAGATATGCTTGCTCTGATAGAAAAGGTCTGTTTTTAAATCTCAGTGCTGAGGGCATGGCAGTGAAACCACTACCAACGCACGGAGGCCCCCAGTCTCGCTTACATGGTTCCCCCTCCCACTCTATCCTGTTTCCTGTCAGCAGCTGTCAATGAAGGGCCAACAGTGATGAAAATAAAAAAAAGGTGGCAATGTTCACTGGAAGGTGGTTCAATCTAATGAAAAAATCTTTTTTCTAAAAGTCTTTTGCTCAAAAACTTTAAATCAGATTTTTTTTTTACAGGTTGTTTTTTTATTTAATTTCTTTAGATTGAGTTTTAGGTATCGCCTCCTTTTCAAATTGTATTTTACTAATTGATCACATTTTCGTCACTTCAGGAATCAGGAGCGTAGAGGCGTCTCTGAAGGGACTAGATGAACATATTCTGCCGGCAGGTTTCTACATATTAAGTTAATTTAGACGTTAATANGAAAGGACTAAGGAGCTCATTCGGAGCAGGTGTGAACAGAGGATTCTAGAAGGGAGCTAGGGAAAAGGAGACCAACACAAGAGGGCAACAGAGGGCAACCAAGAACATCTAAGAACTCAAATACATCCAGAAAACTCAACAAAATAGGAAATAAAAACATGGATCAAAGTGACACTGAATACTCAAAAGAAAACAAAACCCAGACCGTGGCATTTACTCTGTTACATTTAATTTAGTAACAATTTGAAAAAGATGCACTTTTAGGAGTAGGTTTACTGTGCCATACTTCTTACTTTAACTTGAGTAATATTCTTGTAAAGCGTCGTTACTCCTACTTGAGTAAAATCTCTGACTATTCTCAATTCAATTAATTTCAGTATTATTTCAATTCAGTTTATTTATATAGCACCAATTCACAACACATGTCATCTCAAGGCACTTTACAATTCAACTAGATCACCAGATCTCTCCTCTTTTAGTAATTTGAACTATTCCAAAATCAGGTAAACATAAAGTAAACTGCAGATATTAACAGTGAAAGTCTGCTACCCTGTCCTAACATTTATACAGTTCTCATTGTAAGGATTTGTTTTCTAGATGTTATGAAGAAAAAAATGGTAAAAATATTTCTTCTGCACAAATATGTTCTTTCATAGTAATGACATTTATTTGCTGCTATAAAGCATGTCAATTAAAATGAAAATCCTTTGATGTATTTTGATACCTTGATGACAGAGTCAGGGGGCTAAATTATAGTCAAATATAAAAAGAAAAACAGATATTTGATTGTAAAAATTGATATTCAACTGTGGAAAAAAAATGTATTTTTTTAATAATTTTTTTATTATATTTTTTTTATTATTTTGGTCGCAAAATTAATCAAAAACTGATGTGTTTTTGTAACGGAAAGACGGGCACTTCAGATCCGTCTTCCTGCCAGCTGCTTTTCAGAAGGAAGCTGTCTCACTTATTCACACCCTGCAGTTCTGGCTGATGTGACCCTAAGCACACAACAGACATCCTTGTACCTGCAGCTCATGTCACCCACAGAGACCAGTTATTACCAGACTGGCCAGCAGCCCAGAGATTTCCAAGCTTTGGTTAGGTTATAAGTTAATAATCAAAAAAGGTTCCTATCAGTGGTGGCTGTACAATAAAAGGTGCAAGGGTGCCGCCCCACTCACCCAATGACTTTGATTAAGACAGAAAAAAACCCAATAAAAATTTTATTATAAAATTATATA